GAGTAGATATTCCATAGCTACAAAACTCTTACTGTTTCAGGCTTGTCTCATTCCGTTCTTGTCTTATTAGAGCTATAAATTTGCCTGCTATTTCTTTTCAAGTTGGCTTTCAACTATTCTGGCCTAAGAATTCCCTACTTTGTCTACTTATTAAGAAACTAAATCTTTTCAGCCTGTTCTGTGTAATTTTCTCAAATTTCCATAGTCTTGTTACTCTCCTGAGCACCCTATCCACTTTTTCTTTGTACAGTCTAATTTTATTTTATTTAAAAAAATCTATTTTTTATTATTTTTTAAATGTTTATTTATTTTTGAGAGATAGAGCATGCACAAGCAGGGAAGGAGCAGAGAGAGACACACACAGAATCTGTCTAGCAGGCTCCAGGCTCCAAGCTCCAAGCTATCAGCCCAGAGCCGATGCAGAGCTCAAACCCACAAACCATAAGATCATGACTTGAGCCAAAGTCAGATGCTTAACCAACTAAGCCACCCAGGCACCTCTGAACAATGCAATTTTATTTTATTTAGAAAAAAATATTTTAATGTTTTTATTTATCTTTGAAACAGAGAGAGACAGAGCATGAGCAGGGGAGGGGCAGAGAGAGAGGGAGACACAGAATCTGAAGCAGGCTCCAGGCTCTGAGCTGGCAGCACAGAGCCTGACGCGGGGCTCCAACTCACGGACCGTGAGATCATGACCTGAGCTGAAGTCAGACGATTAACCGACTGAGCCACCCAGGCGCCCCATGAACAATGCAGTTTAAAGGCCCAGGCAATGCTGCTTATTTTGTGAGACTCATCTCATAGACTCTATATTTTCTATTCTTCCACTTACAGCAATGCATATTTTACTCACTTTTGGTGAAAGTAACACCCATATTGTTGACTCATATTTTTGCTCTTCTTGGTTATTTCTTTACTAACACAGTTAACTCTGAAACTCCTTAGGTTTAAAATCACAGGAAAAAGGACATCTCAAAATGTTCCCTGCACAAATTTGCAAAGTCAAGCCACATCATTAAGAAAGTAAGATAATTAAGCAAAGCTATCCAAGGTTGGCCAATGTGAAAATTAAACATTCAAAATTGCATTATGAGGTAGTTTTATTTCTTTTTAATTTTTATTATTTTATGTTTATTTTTGAGAGAGAGAGACAGGGTGTGAGTGTGGGAGGAGCAGAGAGAGTGGGAGACATAGAATCTGAAGCAGGCTTCAGGCTCTGAGCTGTCAGCACAGAGCCTGATGCGTGAACTCATGAATGTTGAGATCATGACCTGAGCTGCAGTTGGACGCTTAACTGACTGAACCACCCAGGTGCCCTATTAGGTAGTTTTAAACTGCCTGTTTTGGTGATGTCATTCGGTCCATTCTTCAATGCCTTTTAGCTGTTGCTGGCATTTTGGTGTGAAATTCATAAGATATAACAGTAATTCACTTACCTTCTGATCTTAAGACAACAGTGTCAAAAAAATCAATTTTTAGCTTTTTTCATGTTCTAATGTGTACATCAATTACCCTCACCTGGATACTGAAACTCATCTACCCCTATTCTCTACTCCATATATTGCCCATATTCCATATCTTATCCACACTCCAAACCTTACACACACTCCATACCTGTCTTTGTCCTTTCAGGCTGCTATAACAGAACACCATGGACAAGGTGGCTTATAAACAAAGAAATTTATTTCTCATAGTTCTGAAGCTGGGAAGTCCAAGATCAAGGTGCTGGCAAATTTGGTGTCTGGTGAAGGCCTGCTTCCTGATTCATAGATGGCCATCTTCTCACTGTGTCCTCACATAGCAATAGGGGCAAAAGAACTTTCTGGATTTTTTTTTTTATGAAGGCTCTAGTAATAATCACTCCCCAAAGGCCCCACCTCTTAATACCAACACACTGGAGATTAAGTTTCTACATTTGAATTTTGGAGGCACAAAAATTTTCAGTCCATAGCAATACCATATCTATACTCTATAATTTACCCATATCCAGTACCTTATTTATATTCCATGCCTTACCCATATTACATATCCTTAGTCATAGTTTGTATCTTGCCCATATTCCTTTTTCATATTGTGGTAAAATATATATAACATAAACTTGTTGTCATAACCATTTTTATATGTACAGCTCAGTTACCTCTATTCCTTACCTTACTCATATTTCATACCTTTACTCAACCTTTGTAGTTTACTCATATTCTGTACTTTACTTATACTCCATAACTCACCATTCTTCATATATTACCTATACCCACCACCTTACTCATACTCCCTTTTACCCATCCTCCATACCTTATTCTATACCATACCTTACTCATGCTTTATTTTGCCCCACTCCTGACACCCTCCCCTAATTCTTTATTAGTTTTCTTTCAGTTATCCCAAAGATGTCCTCAATGAATAACTTAGAATCGTATTATGACCACGCAAAATGAATGAAATTGCTATTTTATTCAGTTAACAATGTCATGCTCAAGGTAGCTGAGTCACCTGGATTAGTATTGTCATCATTGTCCTCCTTGGAAGATCCACTGACGAAGTATGAGGAATGAGCTTAAGTTGTTTCTATGCACACGTTTTTGTGTATGTCATGATGTACGGAAAAAATCTTGTGAAGTTTCGTGGTTTTAGAATGCCCACATCACCAAAACACCCTTTTTCATATGAGTGAAAGTATTTCTTGAAGCCATCATGAAATACTTCTCTTTAACTTCAGAAAGAGTGGAACCAAAATCACTTGGGATGGATTACCTGACTTATTCTAAGTATTTCCTGGAGAAACACAAAATAATAACAACAGAACCAGACCTATATGTCTAGTCTAAATCTTTTATTCTATAATTTAACTTTATGTTCTTTTGTCTCAGTGGGTCCTCCTCTATAAAAAGAAGTTGTAATCTATTAACAAAAAAAGGGAATTTATATACTTGAGATAATTATTTATGGGTCCTATAAACCTTTCATATTTAATTATAGATCTTGGTTGTAGAAAAAATATGTTCTTAATATTTTTACAAAAAATAAAGTCTCAACATTAATGATGTAACAGTTTGCTAGTGTTATCAGGGTGAGAGGGATAGACATGGGGGAGAATTGGGGCTGAAAGGGATTTTGGAAACCATATGCCCTGCAGAAACATATTCAGGTAACACTCCCTGGTAAGCCATGTAGTGAATTTCAATCTTGCTTCAAGCCTAGCACCCCATCTCATCCCAAGTTCCCTCAGCCAGTACATTGCTTATACCAGCTTGATCAGGGAGTCTGTCGATGGCATTTGTATATTTCACAATTACCATTCCAGTGATATGATGAACCCTGGAGTAATGTACTGTACTTGGCAGCAACTGCCTCAGCTTTTGGGCACATATGCTTCAAATCTGAGAATATCATAGATATATATGGGAATCTTTGTGGAGATCTCTGAGGCAAGCTGGTATTTAACACAAAAGCAAACCCATTTGGAGCTAAAACACTTACCATTAGGCAGTTTGGCGGCTGTTCTACGAGGCAGACTCACTGTGCTCGACGGACACATTTCGATTAAATGCTGCTTTGTATTCCTCCAAAGATGGGAACAATAAGGACGTTTGTCAAAGGAAAAACTGCAGCAAACGATTTCATGTTGAACATCTGTACTCTGCAGTTCATTGTTTGCAAGAGTTTATTGACCATAATTTTGATGCATATAGGTTTTAAAGAGTATAAACTGCATTTATCTTGGGCGCCTATCATTTATTTGAGGCTTGGCTTATTTATTTCCATTTTTTCTGGGCATTTTATTTATTTTGGGATGCTGAAGAGATGAAGGAAAAGATGTTTTTGAAAAAAGAAGTTTTAGTTAGCTCTGCAAAATTGATGAGGAAAGACAATGTTTCCACAAAAAGAATTAAGCAATTGAATTGAAAAATGTAACACTAAGCATATTATATCTTTATGATACCTTTCAGCCTTAAAGATCTCAAACCAATTTATAAACTTTAAGACCACTCTGCTAACTCATTGTCCGTCATATCAATCATAGTGACATTTCCAGAGTGAACTGTAGCAGCTGTTAATTAGCAAAGTAATTTGAGGGTGGTGGAGTCAGAAGACTAATTAATGGCACTGTGAATGTGATCCTGAGTTAAGTTGCCTTCTTTCACTTTATAAATGGATGGCCTATTGTCAGAAGATGTAAACTTTCTTTTTTTGCATTTTATTCATGGAAACCATAGCCCAGACGATCCAAGTTGTTAAATCAGGATAGCCTTTATTAGTCATGATTTGATGCATTTCTGTGGTCCTACTCTATTGACCTAACTCTGCCATCACATAAACTACAGATCCCTTGAATAGAAGAGAGGCAGAGCCTACAAACTGACCACGTGGATGATAATAGACTTTCTTTCTTGACATACATTCATTGGTATAATAGTTAATGTATAGTAGTGGTTAAGAATGCAAACCCTAAAATCAGGCAGATTTGGGACTATAACCCCAGTTCCAAGTAATGTCACCTTTTATAAGATTATCTATTTCCTAGATAATAATAACATATTTTATAGGGTTGTTAGCAGTTTATTTAAAATGATGTATATAAAGCACAGTCTGGCATAGTAAACTGTAAATTACTGTTATTACTCTATCTTGAATTATTAGGTTCTTTTTTTTTTTAATGTTTATTTTTGAGAGAGAGAGAGACAGAGGGCATGAATAGGGGACGGGCAGAGAGAGAAGGAGACCCAGAATCAGAAGCAGGCTCCAGACTCTGAGCTGTCAGCACAGAGCCCGACGTGGGGCTCAAACTCACAGACTGTGAAATGACCTGAGCCTAAGTCAGACATTCAACCGACTGAGCCACCCAGGTGCCCCATGGATTATTTTGTTTGAAGACTTATCTAAGAAAAGCCTGATGGATTTATCTCTTTAATTAAATCTTTTTTTCTCCATTATTGTCCAAATGCCTCTTTATAGAGAAGACTTGAAGAAACTGCTCTTGATAAGTAACTAACATTTACTTTTTGTTCCTGTGTTTGTAGGGTGTACTCAGGCAGAAAGTCAAGATGGTTATGTGAGCTTCTCCAACTTGGCAGTTTTGATCTCTGGGTCAAATTGGCACTTTATTTTTACTGTCACTTCCCCTCCAGGTAATATCAGCACAGTGTGTTTTTACTGTCTGTTTCTTTTTTAAAAAATAGCCCCTTCTCCTTTATAATGGGAATAGCTCCTATCATGAATAAGAAGTCATCACAGTTTAGAGAAAAAAAAATCACTTGGTTATATCATTAAGGTGTGAGAAGCAAGAACACATGTAGAAATTAAGCCTCAGGAGAATTCTGTTGAAGAAGAATCCAAGTATACATTTTCTTCTAGTTGTGAAAATTCACTTTGAATGGGTGGGCTTTTTTTATTATTATTTCTATGACATGTGATGGCATGTAGCTGGGTATTAATTAGAAAATTTTAATTGATAAGAAAGAGAGTCATGGGATATTAAGTATTATGAAATTTTATCTTTTAGTTCTGCCCTCCTCATCCACTGCATCCCCCCAATTCCATTAATGACAACCATACCTATTTAAAATCCTGGTACTTTTGTAAAACCTTTTTTAAGTTTATTTATTTTTTGAGAGAGAGAGAGAGAGAGAGAGAGAGAGCGAGCAGGGGAGGGCCAGAGAGAGAAGGAGAGAGAGAGTCTCAAGCAGGCTTTGCACTGTAGTCACAGAGCCTAATGCGGGGTTCAAACTCACGAACGCTTTGAGATTATAACCTGAGCCAAAATCAAGAGTAAGATGCTTAATGGACTGAGCCACCCAGGCCCTCCAAAATACTGGTACTTTAGAAGTACAGGTATCAGGTGTGTGTAAATTGCTTATATGCCTCTTCTTGACAAAACCTTAAAAAGAAATCTTCTCACCAACAGTGCAAGAGGGTTCCC